TTGCTTGTTTTGCAGCGAACTGTAAAAGTTTCAATATTCAAGATTTTGTGGAGAAAGGGGAGAACCTACCTCCCAATCTTCGTACTGTATAATGTATTGGCCAAAAGAAACAAAATTATTTTGACTATTCGATTACTTTCCCTTTATTTATTACTTTCACATTTCTTTGACCAATAGTACGACGGGCACCTGTCTAGTCTAGTCTAGTCTGTGCGACTATTGCCGAAATGTCGCGCTGCTGCGCAACTTGTCCGGCTCTTGATAATAAGCCCAAACGGCACATGACATTGTAGTTTCTTGACAAATTTACAGAGGTCAAATGTGATTACAGGGGGCGACAATGCGTCGCAAGGCCTTTGAATGGCGCGCGCATCAAGAAATTCGCAAAGCAGGAGCCGTGAGGATCTGTATGATATGTTTGTGTTGTATCATCAAAGAAGACACAGACAAAATCCAACAATTTCAATTTTGACATCTGAATTTAAAACACTTCATAATAATTAAACATACTCATACTTTATTACATAAATACTACGGTAACATGAAAAGAAACATACAAATTGCAATTGAGAAATAAAATTATATACACTATATACAATATATACAAGAGCTGTGCATACCCTTCATGAAGATTTTACGTGGGGAAATTTAAGTCCCTGGCGAGGTGGGCCACGAGTGGTCTTAACGAAGCATCTTCATCAAGAATAACATAATCCAAAACATTAAGATCAGTCATGTGGTTACATTCCTGAGCCTTATTAAAGAATTTGTTATTTGCATTATGCAGATACGTCTCGACGGAATTCCATTTTCAGGTCACGGTGTAGAGTGTGATTAGAGACATAATAATGTGCATTAGTTATCATTCGAAGAACTTTATTTTGAATAATTTGTAACTTGTCTATCTCCTTCTTCTGAACAGTTACCCAGGCGGGAGAGGCATATGAAAAGATAGGTCGTATGATAGAATTATATATATGTCTTTTCCTCTTTAAATCTAATCTGGAAGTCGCAGACAGAAGCGGCGTGAGACTTCGTATGACTCCAATAGTTTTGCCTCTAATGCAGTTAATATGGTCTTTCCAGAGGAAATTTGAACAATATTTTAGTCCGAGGTAGGTAGTGCTTTTGACAACAGGCACTACAGTGTCAAAGAGCATCAGCTGTGTTGCCAAGGGATGATTCATTTTGTTTTTCTTAAAGATCAGTAGTTTGGACTTATCTGCATTGATTGCTATTTTCCATTTGGCGCACATTGTTCCAGCTTGGGCATAAATCTCTGCAGCTTCTTTACGGCAAAATTCGGTGACCCAGACTTGACACCGAAAGCTGTGTCATCTGCGTAGCACCCCATGAAGAAGTTTTGATCAAGGTGTTCAGCAGGTAAGTCTGCTACGTAAAATAGATAGAGCCCTAAAACAGATCCTTGTGGGACCCTGGCCTTCACTTGTTTCGTAATAGATTTACTTTCTCCAATTTGAATGTGGAAAGTCCTGTTGGTCAGAAAAGAATAAATAATTTTAATCAGCTCATCACTGAACTTTAAGCTGATTAACTTGTAAATAAGCCCCTCATGCCAGACGCGGTCGAACGCCTTCGCCACATCTAGCATGAGTAAGGCAACGTATCTCTTGTTGTGCAGTGCACTGCCAATGAATTCGTTGAGTCAAACTAACTGTTTAGTCGTGGAAAGTGCTTTTCTAAAACCAAATTGTTCTAGAGGTAGTTTATCCATGTGAGGCTGAATACGGCTAAGGATAATTCTTTCTAGTGTTTTACCCATACTGGGTAACAGGCTAATGGGCCTGTACCCTTCTGTTTTCATAAGATTTTTTCCCGGTTTAGGAAACACTATCATCTTAGCAGATTTCCAGATTTGCAGAAAATAACTGTTATAAAGACAAGCGTTTAGAATGCCTGTGAGCCGGTTGACCATATTAATCGGCAGCCATTTAAGCGCCACATTATTTACATTGTCCTGCCCTGGCCCTGGGGCCTTCCTGTTCCTGAGTTTTTTTTTGATGATGCTAAGTATTTCATGGGGCGAAGTGAGCTCAAGATGACTCTGCGTATCATAATTATCCATCCAGTCAGAAACAGTGGAGTTTACTAAGGTAGAAAAATCCTGATTAGATGGTGATGTGTTCTGGGTAAACTGCTTTTCAAAATGTTCAGCAAGCGTGTTACATTTTTCACTATTTGTAAGTGCAATCCCATGCTCATGATAAATTGGTCTGTTTACAGTATTCTTATTTTTTAAACGTCTTACAAAAGACCAAAAAGAACTACTTGGCTCATTAAAGCTTTCTATCTTTTCGTCCCATAGATCCTTACCGTAAATACTGATCTGTTTTTTGATCTCTCTACTGAGCCTATTCATTTCTTTCTTTGTGTTTGGGTCATAGGTAAGGTGAAACCTCTTTCTGATCCTGTTCCTGATAAGATTCTGATAAGATCCTGTTCCTGATAAGATTCTGATAAGATCCTGTTCCTGATAAGATTCTGATAAGATCCTGTTCCTGATAAGATTCTGATAAGATTTTTAATTCTAGTCAGTAGTTTATTTGTGATGTGCTTTCTAGGAATCTTTCTGGTGGCCGCATCATAAGCGTTTTGTATGTCTGTCGTCAGCTGCCTCGCAGCACGCTCTATGTCATTGGGAGTGCATAACATAAGGTTTTTGCGATTTTCTGAGAGTATTTCATTAAACTCCCTCCAGTTCATCGTATTGATAAGCGCTTCCATGACTTCCTTAGTCGTACCAAGAGTGGCAATGACTGGGCAGTGATCCGAGTCCAGATCCTGTAAAACCTCTAGGCCGAAAGACAGTGAGATGGTGGAAAGGAAGATGTCAAGTATATCACCCGAATTACCGTTATTGGGCAAATAAGTGTGCTCACTCGGCACATGTAAATAAACCGGGTAATTATTTATGAATTCCGACAATTTAATACCGTTGTTATTAGTCCTCCTACAATTCCATTCTTGATTCTTAGCATTTAAGTCACCCGCAAGAATGACCTGCTTGTTGATATCCAATATCTTTGCTAAGTAATCGACATCGAGAATATTCTTCGGAGGATTGTACATAGAGTTAAAATACACATTCCCATAGTGCGGCAGACGGACAGATACAGTGACCAGCTCATGTCCATTAAATCGCTCGTCATTGATCAGGCATGATTGTAGGGAGCTGCGGACAAAAATTGCGACCCCCCCCACCTCGGTGACTTAGTCGATCGCATCTATAGCAAACATAGTTCGGAATTTTCATCTGGGTGCTCGGCGTAGCAAAAGTCTCCGTAATCATTGCCACGTCAATATCTTGACCCTGAAGAAGTTAGAAAGTTCCATAATTTTATAAGCAATGCCTCTAGCATTCCATGTCATGATCTCGATAGGAGCAAGCATAGGTCTAATTTGACCCATTAACAATTATAGAGGAAGTTTTTATCTCCTGATTATTTTCTTGAATTCCTCTGACCTGCTATGAAATTTGAAAACCAGCAGTTTTTATAACGGAAACGAGTTCCGCCAGGTCAGTGAAGACTTGTTTCGCTTCACTTAAAATGTCTGAGTAAAGTCCAGAGGACAGCGCCTGTGAATAAGTTTTGTTTTCAATAACCCTATTGGGGAAATTGATTTGTTTATCTGTTTTTCTTTTCGGGAATTTCTCACATCCCCTGAAACTGGAAGTGTGGGAACCCCTGCAATTAACACAAACCGGTGGCTTGTTACTATTATTTCAATCAGGGCAGTCTTTCACATAGTGCTCTTTGCTACATCTGACACATTTGGGTGCATAATTGCAACCCGCCTGTGTATGATTGAACCCCTGACAACGAAAACATTGCAGAGGTCCTTGTCTCCCCAAATACTCTTTAACTTTGATTTTCATATGACAAAGGAATCTTTCATTATAGATTTCCTTAGATTTTTCAGTTTGGGGCACCTGTCTGTACTCTTCGTGCACACCAAAGGTTATGTTAATGCAGAGAAAGGGGAAAAGCTATTTCCGGGAGTATGATTCACCATCTGACATTCCATATTAGAAAGAAAAGTTGTTTATTTAGTTTTGGCTTTGGTACCGGGAAAAATAGCACGTTCATTAAAAAAAAAAAAAAGCACTAAAAGCAAAAAATAAGCACTAAAAACAAAACAAAAAAAAAAAAATAAGGGCTTTAAAGAAAAAGTAAGCACCTATAAGGGCCTTTATATTTTATTTTCAAATATAAGGACTTATAAGCACATATAAGGACCGCTACGAACCCTGTTACAGTTTGTAGCAATGGCACAGACAGCTCTTTCAGTAGCATTAAATGATCTGAGGCCCACAGATTAGCAGTGGACAACAATAAATGTGGACAAGATTCAAGATATAGGACAGCAGAAATGAAAATGCCTTAGTAGTGTAATGTTAATATGATTATATATTTTTATTCAAATGTAGGTTTCTTTCAATTAAATAATATTATGATAGCTACCAGCGATTTATTCATTTGTTTAGTTCTTATTGTACTCATGTTAGAATTTAGAAATTAAATTATTTGTATAATTTTCCTTCTCAATTTTCATATTTCATAGTAAATATGATATTTCTTTTGTTATTATATTATAATACCCAAGATAAGTAAAGATAGCTAAACAAACATTTCTAGCCAGTTCACAAAGTCAACAATACTCATTACCTCTCTTTTCATAAGAGGTGCAGATAATCAAAAAGGAATTTTTGACACTAAAACATTTAGCTAAACAAACATTTCTAGCCAGTTCACAAAGTCAACAATACTCATTACCTCTCTTTTCATAAGAGGTGCAGATAATCAAAAAGGAATTTTTGACACTAAAACACAAGAAGTGATATATATTCATTTATTTACTTCAACCGAGGTAGAAAACATATAATTTTTATTCTAAATATATTATTTTATAAAACAATGATAAATGACAAACATTTCCCTTACATTTAGGTTAAAATAAAAAGGGAAATGTATACAAACCTTTTGCTTCAGTCTTCAACTGCTGCACAGTAGCAGATGCTATTTGAACCAGTCTCTGGACTATAAAACTTCCTTCTGTATCAATAAAAAATGCTTCTCCATCCAATCCACCAAAACGTTTAGGCATTTGAACATTTACACACAACTGCAAACTATATCAACAAAGGAACATAAAATAAATACTTAAAAATCATAAAGAATTCATAATTTTCTTGCTCACTTATGGAAAGAATGCCGAGAAAGATACAGCATTGATCTATATGAGAGCCATCTTAAATTTTAGGATAAATTTTAAGAAATAAAAATAGAGGTGAATATTTATTTTGCAGTAATTTTGAAAAATACCTTAATTTTCCACCCTTTTTTCAGAATTTTCTCAAATCACAATACAGTTTTCTGAAATCTTAGGATACTGTTAAAGGATATTGTTAATTATAAGTTTTCAGACATATCTGTGACCAATATAGTGGATGCAGGCTTAAACTGAAATTATTTGGCTATATATGGCTAAACAATTAAGTTGTGGATATTTTGTAGTTTACATATATGATAATAATAAATATAGTTTACATAGTATTTAAGCAATAATTATTCTATATAGTATGGTAATAAAACTCCCTCTTCTAATTCTGCAAATGCATTTATCAAAATACCCATCTACAAGACCCTACTAAATTTAAGGACAAAAATATAATGAAAAAGAAGTCTCATTTTCGAATAAATAGTGTATTACTAATTCACACAAATTAACACTGCAAAAAATACTAGAATAAAATTCTTTTATTGATAAGAATCTATCAAATTAATTCAAATACATTAATTACAGATTCAAACTACTTATTTAAAATTATAAAAATTGTATATTTTTAAGTAAAATTATTATACTCGTATATTCTCAGTGTATCAGTCTTAAGCAAAATAAATGTGATTACTCATTGTTTTCTGTTAATGAAGCTAAAAAGCAAATTATCTTTTCAGAGATAATAAGATTTAGTCCACCTGTATGAATAAAAAATGCTACTCCATCCAATCCAATTTTATGTAAGATGTATTTAAAAAATGTTATGAGCTATAATGAGTGTTTTAAATATGTTGCTGATCATATGCACATGAAAAAAAAATTAAAACAGTTCTTATGTAATATACATATCAAAGTTGACTAAACAAGAGGGGGAGAGCAGAAGAAGAAAGGCTAAAAGAAAATCTGAAAGGATTAACACTAGGGGATTTGAAGCACTTTTATGCCCTTACTGAGCTTGCAATCTACCTGTTTGGTCTTTAATTCACTCCTGCAAAAACCCTTTTTTTTTCTTTTCCTTTCACCATTATTATTATGCATCACTTTCTTCATATTTACGCCACATAAAAGTCAATACAAAATTTTTAACCTTTTCACGATGGTGCGCCTTTGTTTAAGACGCTCGTGCGGAATGGAAGGGAATCGAAGGCAGTCACCATACAGAACAGAGGTTTTGCATCACTAAGCCTAATTTTATTAAAAAAATCAGAAAAAAAAAAGTTTCACTTCTAACATCGTAATTTTTGGTATCATTTTAGATAATTACTTGAGCTCTTATATATGCTAAAATTAGCACTTAATAACGTTTTTTTCTTTATTTTACACGAAAATATACTTAAAAATTTCCTTATCTTGTAAAATCTTTTTCGGAAGCGCTATTCAAATTATTTCAGAATTTTAATTGACAAGATCCATCAATAAAGTTTAAAATTAATAAAACAACACAATAAAGACTATTTTCAGTAAGAAGTAACAAAATTTACAACGAAGACTGTGGTAAATCTCGAAGCATGGAGAAGTATCACTTTTTAACTCTTAGAAAAAGTATCACTTTCTAACTCTTTAGAAAATGAATCATCACTCTCATCTCTGTTAGTAAATGGTTCATTAACCATACAAGGGCATTCTTCCTTTGATAAATAGTGCCTTCCCACCATAATAGACTGGAGGTGAGGCTTTCCGAAATAAAAAGAGAAGAAACGGAAATATAGCTGAAGGCAATGCAAAGCGTAACAGGATTCCACATAGTAATCCTAAAAGACCATATATAGTAGATGAAAAAAAAAAAATAGAATAAAAAAAGGAATTGGATATAAATCAGACACGCGAATATTTATATTAGAACGCGAATATTTATATTAGAACGGGATGATTTAAAGGGCCCAACTCTGTTTATGCTTCCCCCCCTCGCAACAGTTGATAAGTAAAATAAAAAGTCAGACAGAATATATCAAACTCAAGGTCACGAGCCTAAAACTGTGTTCAAAAGTAATGGATACAGGATGCCATCTAGTGGCCTTCAGAAAAACATTCCAGCTTAAAATGCATATACACATCACCCGTCCTCTGAATGCAACCTCTAGTGATGCATGGATGGGATGCCTGGCTGTAAGAGACGTTCTTAAGGAATGTGTATATGGGATGCCTGTCCTGAAAAGCAACATATGTTTAGAATTCCAGACACAGTGCTAAGTTTTGACATACATTTATTTACCTATATTCTTTTCTCAGTTCATCATATCAATGTTTAGTTTTCTTGCAAGATGACCTACACAACGCTTTTTGTCTTTTTATTCCTAACTTTCTGTGTTTTTAATTTTACTTAACCCATGCTTATAACCACACTTTGATGTTAACAGTAAGTATGAAATAAAACTAAATATGACAAGGTAATTCCCCATTTTTTTTTTTTTTTTTTTTTTTTTTTTGGTGTATTCCAGTAGCTGTATAATTTCATTAAATTTTATTTATTAAATACAACATTTTCCCCACTTACGCTACATGAAAATCAACAGCAGAATCACAAAATATTTAAAAAAAGCATATTTTTAGAATTCTAGATAGAGCATTAAGTGTTACCATAATTCTTTTTTATATTTGCAAAAGTTCAAAATCTGGACAATCAATACCTAAAACCCGAACATCCAGATCACCAGCAATCCATAATTTTTTTTTTTTTTTTTTTTTACATACATTTGATACTTTTTTTCAGAGTAAAATGTGGCGAGTTCTGATTTTTAATTTCACTTTGGCACTAATGCCAACCTGGCGCATCATTATTTATTAGCCCAAATGGGCATTAGCCCAGAAGGGTTTTTAGTCTTGAAACGAAATTTTGCATTGGTTCATTATAAACAGCGTTTCACTTTTCAAATTGTTAAAACCAAATATTAGAGCCCTGCATTATATTTAAAGAAATTAAATAAGGAAGCATCTACATGGATGTACGCATGTTTGTCGCACTGTGAAAAAACAACGGTACCTAGAGCCATCAAATTTTGAATAGCGTAGTTCTCCACCTGAATATGGGCACCTGGAAGCTCGAATTTGGAATTTGTTTTATTGTCTGTTTCACATTTTGTAAAACTTTAATGAATCTTTGATTAAAAACTCAGCAACTTCAAAGTGAGCAGTAGAAACACTGTAAGGAATAAAACACTTTTATGTCCAGCAAGCAAGACAGTTTATCGAAAATTCTCAAGATATGTTATTTTTAAATATTTTTAGCCCAAATACTCTCGAAACGTGTATGTGTCTGTAAAAGGAAAAAAAACCCACTCATTTGGGCATAATATAAAATCTGAAAGCTTTCAGAATTTTTTTTATTATTTATTGCTTTGATCATCGCATGATTATCAACACACTGCAGCTTGAGAAATGACTCATGCAGTGATTTCTCAATATAAATTTTTAATATTAGTCATTGAATACTACAGAGCATAGTAATTTTTTATGTTCACATTACGCTTGGAGATGATTACAGAATTCAGCTAACTCCAGTACAAAATGTTAAGGAGAAGTTTAATACAAATTTCTTTCGATATGCAAAAAATTGATTTTGTAAATGATACTCATTACATTTAGTGCTCCATGAATTGAGAATAACTGTTTTGTTATTCAGTTAAACCCAGGGCAATGCCAGAACTGGTGCACCCGAACCGGGCAGCAGAATTTTGAGAAGACAAAAAATTTTTTTTTTATTATTATTATTTTATTTGGAGAAGCACTAAGAAATAAAATTAAGGAATGGTAAAATCTTAAGAATTTAGGGAAGGCATTGGGATACAAAATTTAGAGGCAGCCAAATTTTTGAATTTAGGAAGGTGGTAGGCAGCACATTTATTTTTTTATTTTCTTTCTTTCTTTTTAACGAGAAGGAAGAATCAGTAAGGATTTTACGATTTGCCAACTGCCAGATAGTTGAAATTAAATCCATACAAAATAAAGTTGATTTTGAAAGACTTGGTTAGAAAAATCACAGAATGGAATTGTGTTTTACTACTACCCTAACACTGAAAGATCATGTTACAAAGCAGATTAAGTGAGCAGATATTGGTTCAAAAGTCCACACATTCCTTTTCCAAGAGTTTCCCAATTGCGCTACTCTTTTTAACTACACAACTGTGCACTATTTTCCAATTTCACCTCACACTGGCCATCTTCTCACACTTATCCTGCAGTTCCTAATTAAAGTCTACTACAATGTACTGTATGCATGTCTCTCCTAACCGGTGTTATTTGAGGTGCCAGTAATAGCTGGGAAAAAATTCCAGCTGAAAGTGGTAAAAAATATAGTATCATAGTTCCAAGAGCTATTCTGTTTGTTTACTTTTGGTTTCAAGGGCTCATGTTGACAGAATTCTATCAAATGCAACTAGAAATGAAACTATTTACTGAAATAATTACCTGCACTTTTATTTGTGAAATTTAGTATACTTAATATCAGTAATTATAAATTTAATAAAGTAGCTATATTTTCATAAAGTTATATATCTTTAGTCTTCAGGGTTGCCATACCAATTTCTAATCAGATTTCACATCAACATTTATGTTCTAGTGTTAATGGTGTCCTTTAAACAGAAAGTACATTTTATACATTACCTGTATAATTTAAATACACATAATTTTCTGATATATTACTAATGATGCTATGGCACAACAAAGCACAGTTTCATGGCTAAAAAATTTTTATAGAAATTGTAACAGGTTCATAACTAAGTAAAATGCATACAAATATGTCTTACCACAATTGTGTTTTTCCAGAACCTGGGCAACCACAAATTTCTGTTACTTTTCTGACTGAAATGCCCCCTCCTAAAATTGAGTCTAGTAATTTGCAGCTAGTTGTTACTGGAGGTGAATCTTTTTCTTCAAGTAAAATATTCAAGGCAGAACAACTTTTTGATTCAATAGTTGATTTGGAATGGCTTGGTTTTGGAAAAACCAGGTCCAAAACGTCCATAGCTTCTTGAACTGTCAATTGTGTTTCTAAAAATAAAATATTATTGAGTAAAATCTTTTTATTGTTCTAATGTGAAACATATCTTCCAACAGAAAACTTTTCACCAAATACATGTTATAATTGAGCATTTTAGGAAAGGATTTTTAATTACAGAGACAAGACAATTTTTAAATTCTTTAAAAAATGTATCCACTTCCCACTAATTTTATTGGTAGGAAGAACAAACATATAAAATTAATATTTAGAAAATTAAGTACACTGAAGTAGACAACATAATCCTCAAAGTTAAAAAAGAATTGATCAGTGGCTTCAACAGCATATTTACCTGCAGTCAGAAGCAAGATTTAACTCTTGTTGAAACAAACTTTTACAATGATAATCAAGTGAAAATAAAATGCTCGACTGTAACATAAAATTATGTTAACATACTGACTAATATCTGTCAATGACATGGCAGTTAAAAAATTTAAATCTTCATATGATTTTTAGGCTAATCTTTGAAATATGGTAACAGGTAGTTTGGCGACATTTTGGTAATGTGATAAAAGTTACTAGCTAAGACTTTAGTAGTGTACATGGATAAAGTCAAGAGTGTGCGCAATGCCATTTTTGTGCAATTCTGGGATTTTTTTTTAAGTGAAAATAGGTCAACATGCACATAGATGATACCGTGTATGTGCAATTCTTAAAAACGCGGCAAGCAGTTTGCGATTGTGCACTTTCTCCCAATTCCGCACCTAATCTTCATCATGATTAAGCATTTTTGTTCCATAAAAGTTCTAGCATAAGCGTAATTCGGCTAGCAGATTGTTGGAAAAAAAATGTTGAGTATTAAAAAAAAAAAAAAAAAAAGCCTTTACTTCATGAAAACAAAATGCGTTAAAAAAAAAAAAAAAAAACTAGCAGGTTGCTGTAGCAGGGTTGGTCGCCAAATTTTCGCCAAGTTACCAGATTAATCTTTTTTTCTTCACATTGCTCGCCTCTACTTAAAAATCGCTGAGCCTTCGCCCCATGATTTGTTTCCACCTGCGTTTAAAAATATTCCTTAAACAAGACATCGCAAATATTTATGCTACGGCTTACTACTGCTTTATCAACATGATATTGTTCTATGAACAGTTGCACCTTACCTCATTTTGCACAAATATCGTAGATTAAATAACTAAGAACATCATCCTTTCCTGCTTATTCCGTTTCCTTCTTATGAAGACATTTTCTCCACTGAATTAACAGTATTTTGGAATATTATTTGTTGGTGGCTCACTTGTTCATATTTCGATACATCTAGGAACTCAACTAACGAAAAGAAACCCCTGCCCTAACAAGATCTTTGAATTTTTGTAATGATCCTTTCGTAACCAAAAATAAATCAGTGCTAAAACATCTAAACTTGGCAAGGTAAGTACATTATGTAATTTTGATATAAATGGTATTAAAAGCAAGACTGATGGTCAAAATATCCATCATAAGGTCCAGCAAATTGATTACGTTCGTGTTCGTGTCCAATTAAATGTTACAAGAAAATAAAGCAAAGAAAAGTATGATAATTTAAAAAAGAAAAGAAAGAAAAAGAAAAAAGATTTCACGTTCTAAATTCGTCGACGACACATTACAAATGGTTGTATAGCAAAGCTTAATCTTTCAGTATAAGTATATATTAAGTTCTAGTAGAGTCAAAAGTCGTTAATTCGGACACCCATAATCCGGACCTCAAAGCTACAAACTTTCTGCGCATGATGCGTGTGCACAAAATACGTTTACGCATGCACGTTTAATGTATAACGGATGGTATAAGCTAAGCTAAAATTATCTAATTCAGTTAATGTTGCAGACTGCGTTGTTCCTTAATCTTCGAATTGGATCCGCCTTATTATTTTTTGCAGACTGTTAGAGCAATTTTATAAAAGTAAGCTTGAACTTTTGATTATGTCAAATAGAATTTCCGATATATACAATTTACTAATATGTAAAGGATCTACAAAGTGAAAGTATGTTTCGAAGTCCATTAAACAAAAGTGGAATTGCTGCAAAAAATGACCTAACCATTCCGAAATCTGTTTATCAATTTCACGCTGCTCTGTGGCAGGGGGGGGGACGCCACGGCGCGGAATGAATTGGAAGTTGATCTGTCAGCACTATCCTTATCTTTAGGGCAGATGTTTTCATTTTATTTGGCTTATAATTCCTTACTAAATGTAGTATTTCATCTCGATATATTCCGTCTTTGATATGATTTAAATCAAATTCCTCGTCATTATAATTTGCTTCCGATAGTGAAGAAAGTGACACAGATGTTATTGAAAACAAAAAAATTTCGATTGACAAATTAGTCGGTATTCTCGACATAGCAATTATAGGACTTGAACAGTGGAACTTTGTAACTGAACAAAAAATTATGTCTGTTTATAGAATTAAAGAGAAAGTATTATCAGATAAAACGAAACAACTTACATTGAAAGAAATGTTTAATAAAGTAAACAAATAAATATTAAGCTTTTTTTTTTTGTAAATTTTGATACCCTTTAGATCATAATTGTTCTTTATTTCATAAATTATGGTTTCATATTTTTAATTGGTTGATCTTTACAATATGGTAACTGGTAGTTTGGCAACATTTTGGAGGCGATAAATGTTACTACCTGGCACTTTGGTAATAATGTGAGCAGTACTCAGTTCCGATTACGCATTATTTTGTGTGAGGGAAATGAGAGATCATGGGATATGTCATGTGATATTAATGGACGAATTACAGTTCTTTAATCGGAAAAAGGGGGAAATCGGGAAAAAATCAGGAAATTTTGTATTTGGCTTTATTCTGTGTTGTGTGAAACAGTGTTTCGTGAATTTTTTGGATCCATGCCGTAACCGTGAATTCGAAATGGGTATTTTATGTAGTAATTTAATGTATGTGCTCATTTATATTTTAAGTAGTGTTTTTTGAATTAATTATTTTTAATTAATTGATAGTTATTTGTGAATTTTATGTTTGTAGGAATTTGTATACGTTTTAGTTGAAGTAAACGTGCCTGGAATAATTTAAATATCCGACAATAAGATTTGTAATGGTTTGCGGTATGAATTCGTTGGTGACCTGTATAATTGTTAATAATTTGATTTAGAGGTAAAAGTTTTTTTGGATATTTTATTTATTTTATATGTGAAATTTTTCATTACTTTTTGGCGATCAGGTAATTTTTCATTATTTTTCTGTTTTTACGGGTTAAAGATTGAGAAAATTGTCATGTATTTTCGTGAATTTTTCAAATTATGAGAAAAAAAATGCAGTTACATGTCATGATAGTGAAGATGTCGCAATGCAATTTGTTGTTGTGTCAATTATGATGTTTTTTTAAGTTAAAATAAGTCGGCGTCTGTGTACATGGTTATGTGATGTGTTATTTTGAAAAACGCGTAAGGAGTATGGTATTTGCACTTTTTCCCCCCATTTTGCAGTGAATATTTGTCCATGATTAAGCCGTTTTGTTAGATAAAATTTCTAGCATAAGTGTAATTCGGCTAGTAGATTGTTGGAAGAAGTGTTCAGTAGATAAAAAGAAAGAAACATGTCTTTACTTTCTGAAAACGCGGCGGGGGAAAAAAAAAATAGAGGGTTGCTGTAGGAGAGTTGATCGCCAAATTTTTGCCAAAAAAACGCCAAGTTACCATAATGTAAAGATCAACCTTTTAATTTTATAATTTCTGCATGCCATCTTACCAGATTTAAACTGATGATCTATAATCCAGAATTGCCGAAGTCCCTACGAGTCCGGATTAACGACTTTTGACTGTATAAGCGTAATTCGGCTAGCAGATTGTTGGAAAAAATGTTGAGTAAAAAAAAAAAAAAAAAAAAAAAAACATGCCTTTACTTCATGAAAACAAAATGGCGTCCAAAACAAAACTAGCAGGTTGCTGTAGCAGGGTTGGTTGCCAAATTTTCGCCAAGTTACCATAATCCAAAGATTAACCGATTTTTATTTATTTAAACATACATTTTTCTAAAATCTACATTTTCTTGATAATTCTCGACTTCATTCAATAAGATTAATTTAATTATACAATTAAAATCCAAGTAAATACAAAAATAAATGTACTGCCGGTAAAATCCTAGTATACGGTGCAGCCTTGGCGCGATTTTTGAAAATTATTGCCAACACCAAAAATGATCCAAAGAACGTCTATGTATATAGACTATACACTATATACTATGTGTGTATATACACTATATACATAGTATTATGCTATGTATAACTATATACATTCTTTTGAATGACCCGTTTACTACTCATCGTATATGCCCCGTTTACTGCTCATCATAAAGTCGCCAAATCCCGTGTGCACCGAATACTAGGATTAAACCGTACTGCCCTTATGGCGAATAAAGAAATGTAGTCTGCACTAAAGTAAGAAACTGCATTAAAAAAAAAAAAAAAAGTATATTTTCTGCCATTAGTAAAAAGAATTCAGCATGATTTAAGTAGATCAATATTGCTATATACATATTATAAATGTCACATCTACAAGTTCTGATGCATATTACGAACTTCTTTAGGTTGATAAAGAGAAATACAATATTATAATCAATTGCAAAAAAGTCAGAGTTCAAAGGATATATATTCGATAATATAATACTTACATATTTTCCTATTAATTATCTTTGAGAACAACTATCACCAAGCAGTATAATTTAGGCACTGATAATGTATAAGCATGATATAAGGTCTTGTTTACAAAACTAAATTGGTTATCAAGGATTAATTGCAGTTACATAAAACCAAGCTCTTATGAGTGTGTTGGAGCATCATGCTTATCCATTATTGGTGCTAAATCATACTGTTGTGACAGTTTTTGTTTGTCAGAAATGGCCCATAAGAAAATGTGTAAATACTGATAATACTACAATAAGATAGAAAAATTCAAAACAACTCATTTTGCCTCATAAAATTTTATATACTGAATGAAAAATTTGAAAGCCACCTGTATTTCTCCTTTCAAGAATTAAATGTGACAATCTTGAGTACTTATCAGTTACCTCAGGTGAAATTTTTTTTTACAATCATTTTCTACGGCAAGAGCTTTTTCCCAAAAGAACATCTTTCGAGACTGTAGCTAGTAACCTTTATCGCCTTACCAAAATGTCGCCAAACTACCTGTTACCATATTCCAAAGATTAGCCAAAAATACTTTGCTTCTCTGCGTACCACCTACTTTTCTCTTGGGTACCAACGGTTGAGAACCCCTGCGCTAGATCATGTGTTGACCAAACAGCACAAATTACAGGAACAAAAGTATAGTTACGCAGGACTACAGAAATTGTGGTTTCTTAAAACAGAAAAGAAAATCTATTCATTTAGATTAGTTTGGTTTAAATGCATTTACAAAACCCATCCGTCAAAAAGTAAATATGTTATAAAATGCCTCAATGACAGAAAATCACGTTAGTTGTTTGCTTGTATATGTTTCATGTCATACCTTAGATGATAAATATAATTACAACAATCTTGAAAATGGAGATTCTTTTTAAATTCACAAAAAGAAGTGCAGAAGGAAATATATACCTTTAGAGAGTTCACTTGGTTTGAAATCGCGTAAATCATCCACAGTAACAAAACCGGAATTCAATAACTTAAAACGCGTATTTTGAGAAAAAGGAAATGTCGTCAAATCTCTAGACATGATTGAATATTCAAACTTGGATATATATTACCATAGAATTTCGATCAGTAATACACATAATTAAGGCAACATTAAAAAAATCAAATTTTACAAATACAAGCAGACGATCTCACAGCAACATTTCCCGCCAGCACATTTTGAAGTTATAGTACTTTCTCAGAACAGGTGTTTTTTCTCTTTTATAATGCTCATTATCAAATATTGAGAAATAAAATTATATAGTTATACATGTTCATCTACCAATAAAATTACTATTAGAGTTATGGTACTTTTCCGTTATACGGGCGCCACGAAAGAGCATGAGATATTTTTCCTTATAACGGTATTAATAAATTTTAAATTCATTATAAATAAAGTACAATTTAAATTTTAACAGAGAGCATGAATTGGATATATGGAGTGATGTTTTGGAAATTTTTGAATAAAATTTCATTTTTCTGAAGTAATCATCGTCACTTTGTCGTTTACTACGCCCTTTTCACCGCCCTACGTTCTTTCAACTGTTTGCGTATGACTTCCAGTGTTTGGGTCTACAAAATTGTGTCTGTGGTTAACTCATATCATCGTATCCTGCATCTTTGAAATCCTTTGTTTTATATGCTTTCCATCAATCTTCGAAAACTGTATTACCGTCTGCGACAACGTTTTCAATTGCGCCGAGTAAAGTTTTAGCTGACTCGATCCTAAGGCTCCTCTAGACCTAGTATGTAGGAGCTTTAACCGATCTGAAACGGTACAAGAGAACATTCCTTTGTTTCTTTACAAATTTTTCCAAAAATCCATTGTGAAGGAAGAACACGTCTAATGTTACTCTTTCTTATAAAAAGATTTTCACTCAACTGAGGTTAATGCATGGCAATAGATAAATTTTACAGCTGAGCTGTAAGGAATAGGAGCGATTCTTCAAACCAAGTGCAAAATCTGGCAGCTATATTTTCTCGGCAAGATCTAAGTTTGCAACGCCATTTTGGCGTATCTTAATTGGTAAAACACAACGTAAGCTATTAATTATTTTTACAAAATTTCGCTTGTGAAGAATTCCTTTATCCTGCAGTAATTTCCTGCCTCCTCCTCATTTTTAAGTAAATCCCAGGTTGTTAAATCCATTTTCCCTCTATAAAAAGTGCTTTTAGGTGAATAATGTAGACGAAGAGAGTTAGTTATCTATGAAATTATGTTTAGTGCGGCTCTAAAAAAAAGCTGCAAATCATAACGGGTAAATATTTGGCTCAGTTTCGCTCATAAAACAGAGATGATTTAAGTGATCACATTGTTGCTATCTTCACGTTACTATACATTGTTTTTTCGTGGTGCCCGTATAACGGAAGAGTACCCGAGTTATTATTGTTATCTGTTGTAGCTGAACATAAGGGGACCAGATTTCGGAGTTAGAAATTCGGGATGCTATATATATATAGTTTTTTAAATATCTTTTTTAATAAATTGTTTTATTATTATTGTTATTGTGGTAGAGGTAGTATGTAGGTCTATAGATATATATAGATAAAGAGAGAGAGAGAGTATTAATTTTTAAGCAAAATAATAAATTTTTAACCCTTCTAAATTATTTGAAGAAGCAGCCTTATATATGAGCCTGAAGCATGAATATTTCTTAGAACACTTTTCTTTTTTTTTTTTTTTTTTTTTTTTTTTGACCGCCTTATGCAAAGCTTCTTATAAGCATTGCACAAGGAGCAATTTTCTGGATGCTTTCAGAACTAATGCAACTTTCATAAGAATTTATTTTGGTGATTAACATACCCTTCAAAATGTCCACTGTTTAGAATGCTAAGATTAACATCAGCCAAAAAAAGAGGGGGAGATATGTCTACAAAGATGTGTTCAAAGTAAACAGCAATAAGTTAGAACGCATAGTGAAGTTTCGGATAAAAACACTAAATATTTGAAGGTAAGGCACGAAACGTTACAAAACAATCACATTGTTCTAAATAGCGGAATCTTTAAAACCAGCAAGATTCCTAGGAGTTACACTAAAGACACAAAATGTATAAGATATAATCAAGAAAAATAAGCTTAAAGACTCCACGCAAGACTTCAGCAATCATAGTGAAAGAAAATAAATCCTGGCAATAAATCACGAATGCCCAAGTATGCTTTGAAACGGTACTAATTTTTACCGAACAAATAATCTCGAAGTGAAGGGGTAAAATTTAAATTCTAAGTACTGAAAATTTTATACAAAAAAAAAAAAAAAAAAAAAAAATGAATAAGTAAAAGAAAGAAACGCTTCATGCTTGCATGAATTCCTTATTTCAAGGAGCAGAAATTCTATATTTTCGTCTCTTGCAGCAAATACTGAAGTTCAATGAACTAAGGTCTCTGAAAAGAAAGAAACCCTTCTCTTCGTAGGAAGGTGGGAGAACGGAATATAAAAGTGTTCTTACTTACGTTATACAAAAAGGAACTATATACATACATAACGTTAAAAAATCGTATAAACTTCCTAAATGATGAGCAGTATAACCTAATATAAATGACGAAGAAGAAAGGAAAGCGTTCTACCTTGGCCATGGGATTTCAGATTATATCAATAAAGGATCATGTATAGGTTATATCAATAAAGGATTATGTCTTTGTTCTTTCCAAGGATTTAAAAAATTCTTGGAAGGAACAAAGACATAAGCAAAATGATGTCTTTTTCTACAACTAATAAAGAGAAATTATGGTCGTCAACGTTGTTAAACTAATTTAATAAATAACTATAAAACTCGGAACTTTCCGAATAAGAACGTTAGCAAAGGCAAATTGAGTAAAACCTCCAAAACACGTCCTCACTCTTCGCTACAAGGTGAGGGCAAACATATTGCTTTGTTTTCCATATTTGGACTAAACTTTTTTTTTAAATTATTAATTATTATTATTTTTTTAATTTTGGCTTTCCTGTCTTACATTAGGTTAGCTTCTTATATAGACTTGTTAATAAGCAGTATATATAAGAAGAATAATAGATTTATATAAATTGTTATGTAACTGGACCTTCTTCTTTTTTAAGCCCAAAGGGGCGTTAAACCCAAAAGGCTATTAGTCTCAAAAAGACATTTTGCGTCGCTTCACTTTCTGTGTGTTGTTCACTTTTCAAACTATTGCCACCAAATATTATCGCCATGTATTATGTTTAAAGAAACTAAATAATGAAGAATCTCCATGAATGCATGAATGTTTCTCTCATTGTGAAAAGAAACGATACCTGGAGCCATCAAATTTTGAATAACCTCCAACCGAGCATGGGCGCTTGGAAGTCCGAATTTTGAATTTCGCATTATCTATTTCACATTTTGTAAACCTTTAACGAATTTTTGAGTAACAAACTTAACGATTTCAAAGCGAGCAATGGCAACACAGTATGGGGGAAAAAGCATTTTTATTTCCAGCGTGCGAGACTGTGTATCGGAAATTCTAAAGATATGCTGTTTTTCTGTTTTTAATTATTTTGTCATATTTCTGTTGAATTGAAATTTACGTGGTTTAAGTGCAAAGAACATTATATTCATTAAACAAAGGTAACACACAAAACGCTAAGAAAACGCATTTTGGGTCGTAATATAAAATCTAAAAACTTTCAGATTTTCGTTTTTAGCCCAAAATGAGTTAGCCCAGAAGGGCTATTAATTTCATTTTGGCATTTTGCGTTGAAAACTTAAAATGTCCATTTCACTTTTCAAATTGTTGCCACGAAATATTATCGCCCTGTGTTATATTTAAATAATGAAGAATATGCATAAATGTATGCATGTTTCTCGCATTGTGATAAAACAACGGTACCTAGAGCCATCCAATTTTGAATGACGAAATCCTGCTGCGAATATGGGCATGTGGAAGCCCAAATATGAAATTTGGAATTTGTTTTATTTTCGGTTTCATACTTTGTAAAACTTTAACAAATTTTTGATTAACAAACTCAAGGATTTCAAAGCGAGCAATGGCAATGCTGTACAGAAAAAACATTTTTGTCTCCAGCGCGTGAGATTGTGTATCGGAAATTCTAAAGATACGCTCAATTTAAAATTATTTTACGATACGATATTGCTCTTGAACTGAATTTTATGGTTTAAGTTCGAAGAACGTGATATTTAATAAATAAAGGTAACAGATCAAATGTTAAAAAAACGCCCCTTTGGACGTACTTTAAAATCTGAAACCTTTCAGATTTTCTTTTCTTTTTAAATTTTTTTTTCAAATTTCTGTTTTTCATTGGTTTTGCCGGCGCTTACGACTAGCCCAATCACAATTATAGTTTTCAAAGCAGCACACTCCTGATCAGAGGCCCTTTTTTTCTTCTTTTTTCTCAGAGACGCAAATGTTCAGGAGCGCTCAATTACTGCAACGAAGCACCTCCCTTTTTTCTCCTCCGGAATATAGATACAGATACATTTGAAATACAGTTGCAGTTACAATTAACGTCACAATTCTATTAAGTTAATATACCTATAATTTTATTCAATTTATATTTTAGGATCTGGTTAGCGCAATATAAATTTTTAAAGGGATATTATTGTTGCTTCGTTACTGACGGATTTTAAAAGCTCAAGAAGGAATAGTAATAAACTAACGTAATTAATTTATGTATTTTAAATTTGAAATACGTTGAAAATATTTATTAGTAGTAATTTGACCTCTGACATGAATAAAAGTTGGGAATCGCAGCATTATGAGCCGCTGCTTGTTACTGGAATAACTGGTGCTTTTGAAGAAGCAACTGAAATGTTACGAAAAGTAACTTTGCTGTCTGAAATAAAGGACGATTACAATGCTTGTGTACCGATAGCTGTAAAAGATGCATTGAAAATATTTTCAAATATTAATAGTGGATCGTCTAAAGAAGAGTGCTTAAGATTTCTTGAATTTCTCAAAAATATTCCAGTTAAAAATCGGACAGCTTCGTATGACTTTCAAAGAGGAAAAAGAGCCCTTACAGGTAAATTTGATCTGTGATTAAAATTTACAAACTGTTAAATAGTTTTTGAGTTAACTTGTTGAAATTTAAGGTGAATTAAGTTTCAATCAGTTATTCATTGGCTTACATTTGTTTTCAGACAAATATGAGCCACTGTAACAACTGATTTTGTGCTTCAGTTTTATTTATAAATATCAGTTATTAAATGTTAGGGAAATAATTTTTTCATTTCATGTATACAGTTGATAATCCTTTTTTAAAACCTGGTTTTTAAAAAAATATATTCAAAATGTTTTTGGTAAAAAAATAAAATAATAATAAATCTGAAAGAACTTAGATTTTAAAGATCGCTCAAAAGGATTTGTTAAGGTTTTTTACGCTCTCGCTGAGCTCGCAGTCTACCAGTCTGCTGTTGCAATCATTCTTGCTAGCTTTATTATTAAGCACCATTTTTCGTATATAAAATTTCGAACTTTCGCCATTTGCAACTCAACAGCAAAATTACAAAAATTTTAATAGCAGCACATGCTTAGAATTTCCGATTCCGTGTTAAGTGTTCCCATACGTTTTTCTAATTTTTTTTTTTTTTTCAGTCTTTTGTTCATCTTATCAATGTTTAGTTTTCTTAGTTAGATGGCTTGAAAAAAAAATTTTTTTTTGGCCATTTTGTTATTAACGTTTTGTGTGTTAACTTTATTTATTAAATAGCACGTTCTTGGCGCTTATGCCACTCAAAATTCGATTCAACAGCAAAATCACAAAATATTTTAAAACAGCATGTGTTCAGAATTTATGACATACATACAGTCTCTCGTGCTAGAGATAAAAATGTTTTAATTCCGAAAGTATTCCCACCGCTCGCTTTCAGAGCGTTGAGTTTGTTAATCAAAAATTCATTACAATTTTACAAAAAATGAAATATAAAACTCGAAAATCAAAATTCGGGTCTCCATCTTGGGGTGGGGACAACGTTATTCAAAATTTAATGGCTGTAGGTACCGTCTTTTTCTTTTTTTTTTTTCCTTGACAATGTGAGGAACATGCAGATTCTTCGTTATTCAATTTCTTTAAAGATAATACAGAACGTTAGTATTTGATGACAGCAATGTGGAAAGTGATTCGCCGTTTATAGTGGACGACGCATTATGTAGTAGACTATGCTCAAAAGGGCGTTAACCCATTTGACCTAACGCCCTTTCGGGCTAAAAATAGTTTATTCAAAATGTTCTGAAAATGAACTCGGACACTTTAAATGAGCTATTTGTATTTAATAATAACATGAAAATAACGGGGAATGCAATACATCGTTAGCTGTCCATTAGCTAAAATTACACTTCTCACGTGTTTGGACATGGATTTAATTTTTTTCGAATAAAAATATTCCAAGTATTCGGAACACTTTAAATAAGCAATTTATAATAAGCATACCAAACACATTTGAATAATATTAAGATACAAGTAACACACTGAACAAATAAGCGTTATACTTTCAAATTTTCACAATTTCGATGGTTTTACCGAACCAGCATCCTCTGCTGCAAAAGTGCAAATTTTGCGCTTTTGCACCTGAGGATGATGGTGACGGGGAATGAACATGGAAATAACGGGCAATGCAATATATCGTTAGCTATCCTTTTAGCTAAAATTGCACTTTTCCTGTGTTTTGGCATGGATTTAATTAATTTTTAAGAATAAAAAAATTCCATTTTGTTCTTCTGCTGCAAAAGTGCAAATTCTGTGCTTTTGCAGCTGAGGATGATGGTGACGGGGAATGAACATGGAAATAACGGGCAATGCAATATATCGTTAGCTATCCTTTTAGCTAAAATTGCACTTTTCCTGTGTTTTGGCATGGATTTAATTAATTTTTAAGAATAAAAATATTCCATTTTGTTCCATTCCTCTCCAAGAATTGCTTTTAATAGAGCCTTTTGTGCTAAGAATAATTTATTCAAAAAGTTCTGAAAATAAATTCTGGTTGTCTAATCCTGATGCTGATATGTACCCTTACACACCATCCTTACAATTAAAATTACGGTTTCTATGCAAAAACAAGCAATTCAGCCAGCGGGCAACAAGGTAGATTTTCCCGTGCACAAAACTGAAAGTTTACTTTTGAACCTACTTGGCAAAAAGACACTGAAAGTGTACAAACTGACTTAATTCAATATTCTGAAAAGTTTGAAATGTAAACAAATATGGCTACTATGGTAAACAAAATTTAAGCTTAGCCGCATTTAAACAACTTTTAAATTATTGATAAATCTACAAGTATTGCATGCAGATTATTCACCTAAAGGCATAAAAACCTTAACCCGAAGATAAGAACAACATAATTCAATCGTTTTTAAAGCAGAAAATGCGCAATTTATCAACATATAAGAATAAAATAAACCTGAGCTTACGCAGCCGAGTAACATGGTGGGTATATATATATATTTATATATGTCTGATGCGGCCGACTGTGACCAAGAAGGGAAGTGCACAACTACATATCATAGCAGTCTTTTACAAAAACTTTCAACGTTCTGAGGTTACTCGTTTTCGAGTTATGCGAGATACATACATACATATATACTTACGTACGTACAGACGCCAAGAAAAAAAAAATCTCTTTTGAACACATTTTAAATCAGTTTTATAATTCGTTTGGGGAAAAAGAGTTCTTTATTCCGTCCTTACGTACAGATACACGTAAAAACATCGTTAAATTACATTCGATAGCGGTCAAAATGGATATTTTCGTTGAAATATGATACCCGAAATTTTTCGCAATTACAATACTTCCTTTTTACTTCGTACAAGGGAGTAAAAAGGGATAGACTGTAAATTTATATAAGTAATTTTGCGAAAATGTTTCGGTGCACAATCAATTTTGAGGTGTGTTTTATTTATGCCTCCTTATGCGGTGTACAATCAATTTTGAAGTGTGTTTTATTTATGCCTCATTTTCAATTTTAGGGGAAAAAAAAATCAGTGTTAAAAATTAAAAAGTTTGGTTTTATTCAAAATCACATGAAAATGTTGGGTTTTATATTCTATTTCAGTTCCCGGTTACAGCGCTTTTTCTGCAAATTTTTAGTGTTCGAGCATTTTTGGGTGAGACTGTATATATTTATACTCACCCAATATTAGTTTCTATAAAAACTATATTTTCCATTCCAGAAGCAGCGAAACATCCCAAACTATTATACCTCCTTAACAATATACAATACGTTTTTTCGGACTCTGTTCCTCATTCGGTTTTCGTCACATGACAGTTCATCTATCGGGTATAAATATATAATAAACTGTGACTCGTCTATAAATATAAGATTGTTTTAATACGACAAATCTTAGCTTATCATAGATTTCGCATTTTCGTTGTTTTCTTGTTGACGAAGAATTTCTTTCTTACTGATTGCTCATTGTATCCAGTCCCCTAATGATTCTTCTAACACTTTTAGGGTTAGCTTTTATTGCAAAGAGTTCTTCTAAATTCCCTGCAAGTTTTACAGCACTAATTTTTGTCTTTTGTTTGATTTTGGTAGGATAAATCTCCGAGTCTTTCGCATTGCCTTAGAATATAGTCAACTTCAGTGAATATTCAACAGTTCCATATAATTCTCATCGTTTCATAATATTAAAAATAGCTGACGAATTTATTTACATTAAGGAATTTTTTGCATATTTCGAATACTTTTAGGATCTTTAAAATGCCGATTTTTTAAATATCTAATATAACTTTTGGCTGATCTGTAGCATATTGCCATATTCATTCAGATACCGAAATTTTAATATCTAATATAAATTTTGGCTGATCTGTAGCATCTTGTCATATTCATTCAGATACCGAAATTTTAATATATTTTTTATAAACAACTAATAATCTCCAAAGGCAGACGATGATTCTTATGGTGTATTTTCATTTAAAACAAAAAAGAGTATTCTTCTGTTATCGGGACCAGATTCAGAAATGTAGTATGTATATATCCATGTATATATGAATGTACGTGTTCATGTATACATCTGTACGCACGTATGTATCTGTGTCTATACATATATATAAATATGTAAGAAAAATAATGAATATGTAAAAGATTAAATTAGCAGCGTAAATTAATTTCCCTTCTCTATTCAAAAAATAGAAACCTCTATTTGCACTGCGTCATTTCGAGATTAATCCATGTCATATGATTCTTACATACTTCTGATGATGTAAATGGAACTAAAACTCAAACATTCAATAGTAGTTTTATAGCAATATTAACTATCCAACAAAAATGCACTGAGAACCAAAACTAACTCGGTCTGAATTAAGATTTTACCCTGAACATAACGCACTTGCTGTCTATGCTTTAGCCTAGCTTGACTGCAGGCTGTCTGCTCCTTCTTTTTTACTGCAAAGTTATTTAAAAGGTAAACTTTTTGGAATAGGCACATCTAATGTGCAAACATGTTTGCTGAAATAAAAAATCTGATGTGTACACCACATGACTTCCTTGTACGGAATATTGAATTATACGCATTTTTTCTTGCATTTAATTTAAACTTATTGCATTGAATTAAATCTACTTCGCCGACACCGCATAAAACCACAATAAAATAAATGCATTCCTTTAAATTCACTTTGTTTACCATAGCAACACGCTGCGCTAGGTTACTTAACAGTATTATATTCGTTCATATTATAAACATAATCCACAAAATTATATCATTTAAAGAATAGAATTATCTAAATCGTTGCCACATGTTCTATTCAAATGCTATAATAAAGCTAGAATGAATAAAAAATAAAGTAAGCTAAAAACAAAAAAGAAACAGTTTTTATCAGACGATTGAGTATTTCTCATTCAATTAATTTAGTTGTCACTTCGCGACAAGGCAAAAATACATAAAAACTCAAAATATCTGTATTCAAAATTACGAAGTAAATCTTAAACACTTATTTCCTCGAAAAAATTCCCAAAAGGATTAAGCATGATTTAATTCGCAATAATACATGAAGGCGTTATTTTTGTTGTTGCGTAGCTAAGTTTCTC